CAATATAAAAAAACAAGAAATACCTGCCATCTTGAGTTCACCGAGTCTTACGATATGGGGCCAGCTCTGGAAGGTCTTTATGAAAAATGGATTTGTGACACCGAGAACCACATTAGGGCTAAATTACAGGAGACATGGTTTGTTTATGGTGACAAGTGAGACATATCTGAATTCAAACACAAATAGCGGTATGCAGTCATCACTCACGGAGCCTGGGTGCGAGTAGTGTATTCTCTGAACTCACTGTCATGAATGGTGAAGTATGGACGAAAATCACAGTAGAATTTTAAGGGACAGATAGAGCTGAAGAAAATTGGCCTTTTAATATTGCAATCAAAACAATATTCTTAATTACACTCTAAATACTGGGTTTCTAGTTACCTCACAAGTGCTAATACTGTTTCAGAAGACACTATAGGAGAGGGGGCAATGACAATCAGTGGTTCCCCCAGCAGAACAAGTTCCCAGAGCATCTGCAGGTGAATCAGCATTGACTGGAAACATCTAGAAAGTCAAAAATCAAATATGACAAGAAAGTTCATATCAACTTTAACAGAAGACAAAAAACTCACTTGAAGAGGTCAAGTTCGTGGATCGTTGGCAACACTGTTGGAGCTGGTAATAGGTTCTAAGGAAAAAATAATAATTTGTCAAGTCATCTGCGTATGGTCTCAGTCATAGGGTCCATAACAAAAGGAGGTTGATATAATTTGTCATGTCACATTTGTGAATGAGTTGTAAACACACACAAAAAAGTTTTCTCACCTCTTTGGCCGTGTTTCGGATAGGACTTCCCCCTGGTTTGTCAGATTTAGAAGGAATTCTTATCTGAAAAAAAGAAGAAAATACAAAACTCAGTGGCACATGCAAATGTTGGATTTGGCTAAACAAAAGTATCACCTGTAAGATTACACCCATCACAGGCAAGTTGAGAGTCATTCCTGGTACCGGTTTGGGCCACTGGTCAATCTCATTACAAACTACAATGACAAGTTAAACATATTTTCTTAAGAATACACAGAAACAGAGATGTGATTCATTACTGCAACATTAAATATCACCATTACCTGTTTCAAGACAAGGCTCTAACTTCTCAAAGTACTCTGGGGCAATAATCTGCAGCAATGAGTGAAACAGGGCCGTGTAGGGAAGCCTGCTGAGAAGCACCAAAGACTACAATAGACAGTACACTGTTACAAAGTCTTCTGTCCAGTCTCCTACCTAAAAAAAAATATCACATGACACCAACCTTCTGAAAATAGCCTCGTTTCACAGAGACATCCTTCACCTGTCTGAAATAAACGTAGCCAAAAAAATGGGAAACTTCTTTCTGTGGAAGAGAGTATAATTACCATTACTCACTATTCCTATCATCTATCATTTCTATCATCTTATCATTGTGACAACCTGCAAAGTTAAAGGGGCATCTCGATTGTAAATGTCTCCATCCCTTGAACTTCGTCGCCCAACAGACTGACGCATCCTGAAACTGAACTGAGTATCTCCAAGGCATCCTGGAACACAAAATGCAAGTCCATATATTATTAAAATCTAATGTGATCTTTAATTTAATATTTTCTTTTTACCTGAATATGAGTCAGGAAAGGACAGGTAGCAAATGTTGGTTTTCTAAAGAACGAACAAACGTGACCATTTATATATTCAGAAATAGCCCGAGTAAATGTACATATATAATAACACAAGTTCTTACTTCTTTTTCTGTAAGTTTTACATCTTGAGGATAGACCAGCTAAAAGTTAAAGACAAAAAGGTTACCGGAAACTGTACACAATACAAACATTTAGCTGCCTAAACACACAGTACTGTAAATGTCATTATTATACTTAATAATAATAATATTATTATTATTATTATTATTAAATACCTATATTACTTCCATTATTTTATGAAGCGTCTTTACCATCCTTCTTTAAATACCGTCCCTAAATAAAAGTGATTTCGAAAACTGAGTGGAAAGATATATATCTATCTATATCTATATCTATCTCTATCTATCTATCTATCTATCTATCTATCTATCTATCTATATATCTATATATATATATATCTATATATATATATATATATATATATATATATATATATATATATATATATATATATATATATGTTGTTTTTGATAAGATCGTCACGCCTAGGGATGTAGGATGCTGGTGGTTGTTGTAGGCTAGCTTTCGTCCTTACCTCTAATGCTTGTCCGAGCTCCAGGTCGAAGGTAACCACACAGACACACTCCAGCCAAGAGGAAAAGCGGACCCACCGGCACAGACTGTCCGTCACCTCTGTCTCCTCGAGCCGCGAGGAAACAGATCCTTCAAATGGGTTCATGGCATAGTCTCATACGTTCACTACAGCGCCCATCTCTCCTTGGTCGCTGTGTTTTGGGCTGAGTGACTCTTTTGTGGCATTAATCTCGTCGCCCCCTGCTGGATAAGAACGTGTTGTGCAAGCGCTTCAAGCTTCGCACAAGCGCGTTATGCTGCAGAGGCCTTAAATATTTTCAGACCAGAATAAATAAGAGAAGAGTCAATCCAAATATCTCTATCGATCAACAATATTTTATTTCGCAAAACATCAGCTACAGCATGGACCTTTATTTTGAAAATGCCGGCGGCGGAAGGTCATAGCGCATGTTCCGGTTTGAGAGGGGTGTCAAAACAGGAGCGCAGCGGTTGATTGTGCTCTGTAGCGTCTGCAGTTTCCAGTTTTCTCTACTCTGTCTACTGACATTACAACCGCAGCATCATGTCTGTGGACCCGTGCTCATTTTCGTCCATCAACAGCTGTCTCACCAAACACCTGAACCTGTGTCTAAATGTGGATTTCACCAAACGAGCGCTCAGAGGCCGGGTGACACTTACGGTGGAGGCTCTGGAGGACCGCTTCTCCACGCTGGTAGAGCTATCGTTCCATTACACTCTTTAAATGTATTGGATTAAGCATTTTCATTAAGCCTGTTTTTATGCTATATAAACACGTTGCTTTTAAGCCAAAGCAGGTAGAAACAAATTTCAAAAGTGAAACTATCGTTATGACTGTATAATAAGTTAGTAAATTTTTTGAAGAACCTGTTCGTTGGTATTTTGATTCTTACCTTGACCTCTTATCTCTAAGTTGTTTTTGGCGAAGAGAGAATGGCTTGGACTTTGATTTAAAGGTGTGTAGGCATGTGAATAAAACAGGTGGTCTCTTCAGTATACACAGACCTACAGTTTACTCTGTATCAGTACTGGATATTTTTTATCAGTGAGTGTTCAGTCAACCAGTGTATTCCATTTTGCTGTCTTTTGCATTTTAAATATACTGTTGCTTAGATTATTTTGTATGATTTTTATTTTTTATTTGACGGAATTCAAATTTAAAGGCCTGTGCATTTTATCAGATGAACAGTTATCCACACTGCTGTCTCAGCATTGCATTGGACATAGTCCTTAATAAATGTGCTGTTTATCTGCTTCAGACTTTGGACACCAGAGACTTGAAGATCATCTCAGTGAGTGCAAATGGTCAGGAAGCAAGCTTTACCCTGGGGTCCAAACACAGCTTCAAGGGCACACCACTGGAAATCAGGCTGCCATTTGATATCTCAAGGTTTACTATGGTTTACTGTAGTTTGATTATGAAATTTGAAATGCCTTGGATTGTAAACTTTTGAATAACTGCAATATTTTTCTTCCTAAACTAGGGGACAGCATGTGATAGTAGAAGTGGCATATGAGACATCTCCTTCTGCTACTGCTCTGCAATGGCTTACACCTGAACAGACTGCTGGCAAGATGTATCCTTACCTATTTAGCCAGTGTCAGGTGAGTGATTTCATGTTTGAGCCTCATTTTGTATCACTTACAATTAGTTTCAAAAGTGATGTGCATCAGCAACTCTTGCTACAATATTGAGACATAAGCAGTACTTCCTTTTCTTAATGTTGTTGTAATGTTTTCTGCTGGTTTTGTAGGGAAATGGGTGCAAGTACAAATTTAGAAAGTTCCTATTCATCAATCATAGGTTTAATTTAGTCCTTTTTTACCTGTTGATGTCAACTGTTGTAAAACAGCAGCAGTATCTTGAAAATCATCTGCCCCTATTAAGCTAAACTTACTCATCTTTTTTAGGCACACCATTGCAGAAGCATGGTGCCTTGTCAAGACAGCCCTTCTGTCAAACACACTTATTATGCTCAGGTAAAATACTAATTCACTATTGCTCAGTAGTCTTTAGTATGACAAATAAGTGACTCTGGTGTTATTTCCACTCAGGTGTCTGTCCCAAAGGACCTGGTAGCATTGATGAGTGCTGTTCATGATGGCCATGAGATGGATCCTCAGGATAGTGAGCGCATTGTCTACCGCTTCAGACAGCCAGTCAGTGTTTAGTGCCCTGCAACTTAAGTCTACTATTTTTATAAAATCCAATTACATTTTTGACATTCTCTACAGGTGCCCATGCCTTCATATCTCATAGCTATAGTGGTGGGAGCGCTTGAAAGCAGGTAACACATTTTAATTTGTGTTGTGGCATAATGTGTAGAGTTAGAAATATAAGTGTATCTAATTGTTTGACAGAGAAATTGGACCACGATCTAGAGTCTGGTCTGAGAAAGAATATGTGGACAAAGCTGCATCTGAGTTTTCTGAGGTGACACAAATCAACAGCTGTAAAACATAGAAATCTGGCTTCTTTGTCTGTGGCTCTTTAACATACTTTTCATTAATTGCAGACTGAAAAGATGCTGCAGATTGCTGAACAACTGGCTGGCCCATATGTTTGGGGTCAATATGATGTCCTGGTTCTGCCACCCTCTTTCCCATATGGAGGCATGGAGAACCCCTGTCTGACCTTTGCTACACCAACTGTTCTGGTAAGGCACTAATTGGGCTGCAGTTATTATCTATTGATGATATGCTATTTAATCATTCACTAAAATGCCTGTCAAGCCTTTTGTCTGAATATTGTAGTCATAGTTTTTCTAAAAAAATAATGTCTTGGTGACACTTTAGTGGAACAAAGGGTAATGGTTTAGTTAGCTCCCTTGGCTTTTGGCTGGTAGTCGGAAATGCTTTTAAGCTTTTAACCATAAAAATTATGCTCCATCTGTTTTCTTATAGGCAGGAGACAAGTCTTTGGCTGGTGTAAGTATATACTTTTCATATTGTACTTTTAATATGTTTTGTATTTTCAGTGTTTGAATCTGTACTCTTGTTTACATCAGGTAATTGCCCATGAAATCTCCCACAGCTGGACTGGAAATCTGGTGACCAATAAGACCTGGGAACACTTCTGGTGAATATTTCTGTAAGAATCACTTACATTGTAATGAACCCAGTGGTAATGTAAGCTTTTCTTCATGAAGGTTGAACGAGGGCCACACAGTGTATCTGGAGAGGATGATTGCGCGGTGTATGGAAAGTGAGCAGTCCAGACAATTTAAGGCCATGGGAGGCTGGAAAGAACTGCAGGACTCTGTGAGGACCTAAAGAATACACATAAGTACCAGCAAACTTTCAGTTTCTGCCATCAGTGAACTAAAATGTGCATTCTAATTATTAGGTCAATACTTTTGGTGCCAACAGCCCTCTGACTAACTTGGTACCTAGCCTTCAGGATGTTGATCCCGATGATGCCTTTTCCCTTATCCCCTATGAGAAGGGCTTTGCTCTGTTGTATCATCTGGAGGAGTTAATGGGAGGCCCAGGTATTGGACAAGCCCATCTTTCTTGACAGTGCAATTTAGTATTTGTATTAGTATTCTGTGGGTTGTTTCTCTGCAGAGGTGTTCATGGAGTTTGTGAAGTCTTATATCCAGATGTTTGCTTACAGCAGTGTCACTACTGATCAGTGGAAGAATTACTTGTTCACTTACTTTAAAGATAAGGTAAATGCTGACAGGTTTCATTTTGTGCATACTGTATAATAGTGTCGTGTAATCTACATTACTATTAAATACTAATATATGAAGTCTGTTGTCCTCAGGTGGACATTCTGAACAAAGTAGACTGGAACGCCTGGATATATACACCAGGGATGCCTCCTGTGAAGCCTCAGTGAGTCATTATGCTGTACTTCTGTAGATTCCATTACAGGCATTTGCATGTAACAACTTCGTTAACTGAACAGGCATTTTGTTATTTTTCAGGTATGACACCACTCTGGCTGATGCCTGTATTGCCTTGAGTCAGAAATGGATAAAGGTAAGGTCTTAAGTGTAAAGGAGTTCAGTGAAGTTTTCATTGAAATGCTTGATATTTTTCAGGCTAAAGAACAGGACCTGGAGGGTTTCAAAGAGTCAGACGTAAAAACGTTGTCATCTTCCCAGCTTATTGAGTTATTGACCCTTTTGCTTCAAGAGGTAAACATTCATTTTATAGCCTGGTCTAACCCATGATACAGTTAATGTTTTTTTTTCTTACCCTCAATTTAGGATCCTTTACCTCTGACTCATGTAAAGAAGATGCAGGATCTTTACAACCTCAACAGTTACACAAACTCTGAAATACGCTTTAGGTTCGTGGCAAGAGATTGAAAAACCTTTGAGTAACTTGAAATGTTAAAAACTCAAACTTTTTTTTTTCAGATGGCTGCGCTTATGTGTGCGCTCAAAATGGGAGGAAATGGTCCCAGTGGCTCTGAGGATGGCAACAGAACAGGGCAGGCTTAAGTATACACGCCCACTTTTTAGGCAAGTTGTGTCCTGCTTCTAAATGTTGACTGGCTTTAAAAAATCAAGTATTGGGAGTTTAAAGGCACAACTTGAAACTTGGCTAGAAGGTTGCATATATAATCATATATTTCAAGAATTTTATTATTGAATCAGAACAGAAGTGCCTTCCTTCTGTCAGGGCTTCATAGATGGGTGAGTGGCAGTGTGGCTGCATAGTGTGTCACCACAGGGTTAAGTAACATGTCTTTTGTAATCGCTTATGTTTTTCTGTTGCAAAAGATACTGGTCCAGTTAGCACATCAGTTGCAACATTTTGATACCACCCTTATTATTCCTCTTGTAATGTTGCCTGTTGTTTCAACAAGGGTCTGTCTAAAACGAATAATGCATTTGTTTATAGGGAGGTGTACACATTTGAGAAGTATCGTGAAGAAGCAGTGCGGGTATTCCAGGCCCATCGTGCTGGCATGCATCCGGTCACAGCTGGATTGGTGGCCAAAGCCCTGAAAGTAGAGCAGAGCCAGAGCACTGGTGTGTGAATGCCACATTTCATCACAAAAAAAGATGCTTTGTCTCATCTCAAGTCGTACATATTTTATAAACGTAAACATTCTTTCTGTAATGTTCGATCCTTGACCATGTTTTCATCTTAGGGTTGGCATTTTTAATAAATCAGGAACATGCTTTCAAACATTTCTAACAGCTTGTCTTGTCTGCATTTTACATTATATGTTTACATTGAGTTAGGTGTGATGGCATAAGGCATATACACCTAAATTGTTGGCACAGTTATTAGACATTTTATAATGTACTGCACATCCACCAGTTCAGAAGCACTCAAAAGGCTTGCAGTTTATGACCCAAAATAATTCATAGACAAGACAACCAACAGATCTGTTGTGGTGCTTGTAAACAATGAAAAACAAGGTACATGAGTAACATTTAGGACAAAGGCAAGTTAATAAAGTATAGCACACTGAATATTGTGTCCCTGTAATGCAGCTAATCCCAGTTTAGTCCCAGGCCTTTTGAGAGCATCAGCGTCTCCAGGTCCTGCTCCTCCAGCCTCTCCCGCAGCCGTTGCTCCTCTAGTAGAGACACAAGTGCATCTCTCTGCTCCACCACCTCCAGCATCTCCTCCAAGATCAGCCTCTCCTCTTCCAGCTCTGGTGCCCCTTTCAGATGGTCTGCAGACACAGAAAATTAGGTTTAATTTTATATTTTCAAATGGAGAACCATGGGTTTTAAAACATTTATTTTCCAAAAGTATTTCGATTTACCATCTACTGCCATCCTTTCTCTCAGTTCTTGTTGTAGCCGACTCTGGCGGTCCTCTAGCTCCAACTCCCGGGCGCTAATGGTGAACCAAAGAATCACCAAAGATAAATTCACATGGGATCAGATAAATCATAGATATAAAGTTTGATTATATAAAGTTGAAGGTATGATTACTTACAATATCATCAGTTCAGACTCATAGTGAACTAAAGCATTTTTCTGTTGAACCAACTGGAACCACTGCTGCATGAGCGCTGGGTTTTCAAGTTTACCTAAACCTAAAATGCATTGTGTGTATAGACATGATATGAACCTGAGATATCAGATATGAACATACAGCAAATAAGTTTGCAATGAAAGTAAGCCCACCACCAAGGTAAAGGTCAAAATCTTGGCTGTCACCAGATTCTCCCCAGTAATCTGAAAGACATTTAAATGTAATTCTTATTACTAAATTGTTATGATGTGTCCACTCGTGTAGCTTTACCGGCTTCTCCTCTTAGAGCTTTCTCTACTGCCACTCCTCTAGCCTCCAGCAGTCTCTGTTTCTCTTCCACCTGCTGCAGCTGTCTTTGAATTACCTACACATAACGGCACAATAACACCACTGACATGAAACACTATGGGAACATTTAGATTGAGAGTGGAATTTTTACTTGGGCTTTGTGAAGTCTCTTGAGTTGCTCCTGTTTTGCCTGTTTTCGAGCAGCTCTTTGCACCCGTCGAGTGATTTTGGCATCGAGGTCTTCCTCCTGATCACTTTTCCTTTGAAAGAGTGCCTCCCTCACACTTAGGCTGGATGCCTCCTGGGGCTGAACTATAACTCCTAACACTTCTGTCGGACAAGAGGAACCTCCATCCGAGTCTTGGATAGAACTTTTGTCCTTTAGAGAAGTTTTCTGAAAAAAGGAACATGCGTGATTTCTCACAATAGACATGGCTGAAAATAATAAAGTGAATGATATGGCCTTTACTTGAATGCCATATGAACGTTTAAAAGCCAGAGCGTGGGGAACATAAGCAGGCTGAAAACACAACAAATATTTACAACATAAAACTTAATCAATAAATGATATATTTTTAAGTACTGTGTTTAAATGTTGAAACATACATGCATGTTTCCCTTCTCCTCTTTTAATGTTACTCTTTGTATTTCTAATGTGAGGTCAAAAAGCTCCAGCTGCAACTAAAAAGTAAAGTTTGTTAAAGTCACAAACAGATGTGCCTTAAAGTGAAGTTTAATTAATGTTATATTTACATTCTTTCTTGGCGTTAATGAACACCTCTTAAGCAGAGTGGATGTTTCCAGCTCTGATTCCTCTGTCAGCGTGGCACATCTATAATCTATGACAGAAGGAATTAAATGACAATACTGTTACATAATTCAAAACAAAAATGTTAAATATACATCACCTGTAAGCCTTTTCTGATTGACAGGATCCTTTGACTGTCTTTCTCCTCTGGGAAATGAAGCTCTCACCTTCCTGCTTTTCTTCTTCATATTGCCAGATGAAGTTGCTCTTCGAAAGACCTGGGCTACGCTCCCATCTGACTGTCCCACAATAGGACTGTCCCTCAGACCTTTTAAATGGAGCAGCAGTGACTCACCCACAGCCTGCATAGGCGGCAGGTGCTGGGCTTCAAATTGGGATTCCTGCCTCTGTTCAGTTGATCCTATCTTTTTCTGTTCAGACTTTAATTTCTTCTGTTCAAGCACTGATATTTTTGGGGGAATTTCAGGGTTGATGTCTTCAAAGGAGCCATGACTTTGTAGCCCCCCAGAAGATGAGAGACTAGACATAGTCTCTATAGAAAGTCCAGGATGAAAGCTCATTGGAGACATTGTGTTTGACTTTATAACTTCACTTGTGTTTGTATCTCTTTCTTTAGACTCAAGAGAGGAATAGGAGGCAGAGCCAGCAGTGGTAACAAAAGAGGCAGTGGATGGGGTGTTCATGTGCAGGACGACCTCACTCTGGGAGTCTGGAGTAGCAGGTGAAATAGACATAAATTTGTCTTCTTCAATTGAAGGGTTGCTCTGAGAGTCTGGACAAATGGTCATAGAAAGGTTAGTAGAAAGACATGAACAAAGCAGATGATTGTTTCACAGTATTAAATATTGCACTTGATGGAGATAAAGCAAATTAATCAATGGGAAAGCCCTTGATATCATCTTGGTATACATTTAAAGTTTGTGAATGTATTCAGTCATCCAGGAAAAGGCATACAATAAAAATGGGAAGATGAGCAGATTTTTATCACACTTAAATGCACCAAGGACTTACCATCAGTGGACTCCACTTCAATGCTGTCATCATTTTCATCTTCATCCACCTCTCCCTCTTCCTCATCTCCCTCATCACAGTCAAACTCTGTTGCCTCTGATTTGTCTCTTAAATAAGCCTGAAGCTGCAGAGCATCTCTCCATGAAGATTCAGAAGAGAGACTCTGGCTTTTCTCTCCAGCCTCCTCATCTGAATCAGAACTATAACACATAAAAATCAGTAACATACACACTCCACAAATAAACTAAGATTACAGTGAACTTATACTGACCTAGACCGTGACTTCAGTCTGCTCTTGCTTCCCTGAGTTTCCTCCACTTTTAGGTTAAACTCATTAAGTGTCTCCTCAGAGACCTCCTGTGGCTCCTCTACTTCCAACAGCTTTGTCTCAACATTTGTGGAGTAGCGGCGGCAGTTCTCCAACTCAATACGCTCAGGGGTGGCAGTCTGCTTCTTGTTGACAGCTGCTTCCATCAAAGAAGCCACTGTAGACACACACACGCACACACACAGAGACACACACAGAAACACAGACACACTAAAGCCACATTGATCCAGTTTAAGGCAGCGAACAGTGCATGTGAACAGCTGAAAGGAACACCCAGGACTAAGCTCACCTGATGACCAACGACGCTCTGCTGCCATAGAGATGAAAGAATCAGTTGAGGAGCCAGTGAAAGGTGGGGCTGGGGAAACCTGGGGAAATCAAGAGTACCCTTAAAGATGCAACTTTTCTGAAGGAGGGTCCACTACCTTCTTGCATCCTTGGAGATTATCACTTTGCTAGAAATGTTTTACATTCTCCAAGGAGACAAGGAGTTAATGCCACCAGATCAAGATACAGCTCTGATCTGTGAAAAGGGGACCCTGCTCATGGTATGAATACAATAAAAACAAGCAATAAAACATTCTAAGTTAATCTACAAACTTACTGTAGATGCCTGATGAGAAATGTCTCTGTCTGAAGGTAGTTGTCTCTTTCTTGCTGCTGTGGCTTGTGATCCTAAGTTAAAATGTTCCGGACAGAAAAACCTCCCTGTAAAGAGTCAAAAGTAGGACTCAATATCAGAAGCTAAGACAATAGTATTTTAGTTTGATCATTTTAATGCCGCCTGAGTCTTAAACACTGATCACATGAGCTTTTGTCATCCTCTGATTGGCTGAGTGATTTCACAATTTAAAAAAAAAAAAAAAAAAAGTGAAATGACCTGGAGCTGAAGAATACAATCAAAACTTTGTCAGAGACTGAGGAGGTCAGCAATGACAACCTCTGAACAGAATATTTATAACCAACTTCAGCAGAAAAGCACAGATCAGATGACAGTGTAGACAGCATTTGAGGTTGTGGGCAGGGGTTATATATCAGTGTGACAGGTTGTCTATGTCACTTGGAAATACATTGTCTATAGTAAAAAATGAATCACACTGACTCCTCTGTGCACTTACCACTGGGCCTGTCATAGGTGTAGGTGGTGATTCTCAGACTACATCCACAGTAATCACACAGTAAACAACTGCGGTGAAAGAACAGGCCCTCTGCACTCATACGCTCCATTACATAGACATGCTGCTTGCAGAAGAAACATGTATCACTGCTGTCTGCTGAGCCTGCACTCTGAAAAACAGACACAAACAAATGCATTAAAAATCCTTATTTTCACTATGTAAACATGGAGTATTCATGGATACTCTAATCTATCGCAAAGAAAAATTCAATTCTATCAACTGGACAAAAGCTTTTGATTGAATCGTTTAGCAGCTCATTGAAGCTGCTTTTTCAGTTCTGCTCAGATAGCTTTTGGCCATTTGACAGAATTGAATTATTCTTTGATATGGATCCTCCCTGGACGACTGAGGGATTACACCGGCATACTCTTTTATATTTTTCCCACAACTGACATTTTGGTTTAAAGTTTAAAATTTTACTACCTGGTTGCATGTGTGCAGTAGATGTGATGTACAGATAATTCTACAAAGCATCAACACTGTACTGCACTGTACAACACTTATATTTAACACAAATAGTAATGAAAACCTGCCACATGCACTTTAAATTATAATCAGACATTGCTGCATCAGCTGCAGTTTCCTGAAACGTGAATGATGATGTCTTGTACACAAGAGGTAAAGGTTTTTGCCCAGGGATTAAAAAGTGTAGTTTATCTGTGTTGATCTGCTGGAAATTCAATAAAGCTTTAAAATATTTTAAAACATTTGCAGTACGACATATGCAATATGCCATGTCACATCTTTTCCAGCATATAGTATACATATAGAACAGTACACATTTGTTTTCAAATGTTAGATTGAGTATTATTCTCAACAGCCAAGGGCACATAGGACAAAACAAAGCTGAAGGCAGTTTATTTCCAGTACATACACTTCATGTGACTAAGGCTGAAAGCTCTTATTGAGCTGTAGCTTTATCACATGCACAGACCCTTCAGGAGTCAGGACAACTGATCAGCCTCTAGATCCTAAGTATAAGAGCCAGCATAGTCAAGGGAAATCAAACAAGTATGACAGCTGCCTAGAGGAAAACATCTCTCCTACATGTAACTATAACTTATCAGATGATCTGATGCTTAATGCACTAACTAAAGTGAGTATGGAGCAGAACAGAGGCAAATGATGGCTTCCTACATCACAACAAGCACTGCACAACACAAATAAACTATAAAATATTGAACTTTCACAACACACCTGCTGAGACCTGATTCTCTCTTTGAAACGAAAACTCATCAATTCTTGTTGTTGTGTTCGCTTTTTCTATCGAAGTAGAAGAATAGTTAATATATTGTAAGAATGTCTAGGCTGTATTTGGCATTAGTACCGGACATTGACAAGTTACCAGTCTCCATGTAGGCAGCGGAGCAGTGGCATCAGAAGGCGACCAACTGTCTGACAATACCTCCCCCTGCTGGACAACAACAGTATCATGTACATTGTTAAAATGATGGATTATACTACTAATTAAGTACGTGCACTGTTAAGCAAAAACTAAACAAATCTTACTTGCTGCTGTAAACCGACAGAAGTTGATCTTTTGGCAGGGGTGGATTCATGCTTTACTTGAAACTTGCTGGCCATAAATTGCACCTTGGTCTTATACTGGTCACACTGCTGATCACTGGAATTTGCGTCAAAAAGTTGTTCTTCGCTAATGCCTTCCTCAATAACTGACTCTTCTTTTTTTGGATGACTTTCTTTCCTTCTTTTAGTAAGATCATCTTTATTCTCCTTTGTTACAAAAAAAAAAAAAAAAAAAAGTTTAAACATGATTAACAGAAACACCCATTAAAAGGTTGCATTCACATCTTACAGTCTGATGCCATAGTTACAGACTTTACAAACCTGGCTTATTACTCTTATAGACATATTATAACATCTGTTTGTTGTTCTTTAGCCATGTTATAATATTTTTTCCTCTCATCATTAGGTTCCTCAGAGTTGTATTTTGATTGAATGTCTATAAATAATCCTGCATGATGATGCATTTGTCTGTGTCGTCTTGTCTGTGGACACCTGCCAGTTCTAGCATTGTTGATATTTCTATGTGTTTAGCTCTATCTTTGACTGGTGCCATCCAACTGATACGGAATTTAACATGATCAATTTTCTTGGTAAACTTGTTTCACTGAAGTGGTACGCAATGCACGTTTCATTATATCTCAGCCAGCTTGTCTCCAAGCTGTCCTTAGCTTCTATTAAAAACCTCCTAGTGTGGAAGCATAGTCAGGATTGAACAGCCAATACTAACATGCAGTCTTGAGTATTAGGTCTCTAGGTCCAGGACTGAAGGTAAATAGGCTTCTCCTGCCTCAGTCATCCAGAGTCTCTGCCTTTCTGTGCTCCTTAGGACTCGTTATGACAACACTTATGTTAACAATTCCTGTTTTTTACCTACACCTACCCTCTCTCCTTGCACACATCCTCACAATTATTTGACTCTGAGTTAGACTCTGAGTCATACCATAATGTTGCATAGCCATAATTCAAAATAAAAACACAAAAATTCACTTCTGCTGCTTCTGACCAACAAGGATTCTATAATGTTGGGATGTCACACGAACGCAACTTTTAGAGCTCAAGATTGAACATCAGAAATACTCTCGAGCTATAATGATGTAAATGTGAACAAAGAAAACAAATGAATGTGCTTCTAAAGGTCCTTACAGCTGGGGTTCTTTTTCTGGATGAACTGTATCCAAGTCTACTCAAGAGGGAGACTGGGGTAAGTAGAGCTCCTCGCAATTCTGTAAACTGAGACAAAGAACCTGGAAAGCAAAGATAGGAAGTGTAAACAAACATAGCTCATATAATCACAAAGTTAGTTGTAAGTAACAAGTCTCACCTGCAGGAGACGTGTTACTGAGCAGGTGATAGAACTGACTCAAATACATCACCATGGACAAAGCATCTGGTTCTCCAACAGACAACATCTCGTCTACAGTCATCAGAGGTGAAATGCCCAACGCTCGCTCAGCCACATCAAAAGCAAGACGTATGTTTTCTTCCTCTTCAGACACAACTAACGACTGATAATTGCTAAAAGACACACACAAAACAGTGCTGTAAATGTCAGTATCCATACATATTAATTATATAGATAAAGGTACTTATATGAGAGAGAGTGGAGATAGAAAGGAGATTATAGATTATATTGCAATTTTATAGTGTTAACAGCAAACACACTATCTGTGTAACATGACCATAAAGCTGGAATGAGGCAAAGAAAAATGCATTTTGAATATATATTATGTTATGTACAACATTTCTGAATAATTCTAAATCATAAATTTGCAATAATACTTACATTAGTTCAGGACAGTAGCTGTGGATAAGGGCACACAATGCAAGCCCATTCTTCCAAGATGTGGTGAGATCATGAATTGTAACTCCACAGTAACCCTGAGTCCGCTCCTGGCACCAAGTGAGCAGCTTATTAGAGTGAGAAACAGGCCCTGGAAAGAGAAATAAGACAGATGACAGCTGACAGATCACTGACTTAAATGGTTTACTCAGTTTACTATGGTTTATAAGAAAAATGTAAAATGGGTTACATGTAATTCATTAAATATTACAGAAAAACCACTGACTAATTCAAAGTGACAGTGATGCTTAGTGAACTGTACGCAGCCAACTCACCCTGTCTGCCAGACTGCAGAGATGTGAGGCTGACAGCATCACATATATGTGTGCTGTCCTCTTTCTCCTGTCCAGTGTTAACCAAATGTCTCACCTGAAAATACAGACACCCATAACCTGAACAGTGCTATGGACAGTATTTAAACTTTGAGTAGTGTGCACCTGTGAAGGAGTGATAAGCAGTGTGTTGACGTTGGCGTATCGTGTGCTTGGGTCCAATGTGTAGAGACTTAAATTTTTCTGCATGTTTTCTGGAGTTGTTTGAGGCAGGACACGGTATAAACTTTCTCTGTAAAAGAAACAAATACATAGCTGAGATGGTACATAACAAAACGTTGTGCAGTTCCAGGAAAAGTAACCTATCTGTCTAGTACACTAGTAAAATATTTATTGTATTCAAATGTAATGCAGTAGATATATATATATACAAAAGGTCAGTAAAAAATGCATTTCTGTTACTATGAATACCACCACATTGTATACCTACTCAAAAGTAACTGTGATATATCTATATAGTTACTTTCCATAGGCTGAAGTGGGGTTATTACCTCATAGCAATGACATCCAAAGGAGCACCCCCTTTTGCCCAACTGCGGATCATCCATGCTGAGTCCATGGCTGCAAGAAAGCCACGAGCTATACCTGTACCCATGGGCCAAAAAGGCTAAGGGCAACAAGGAAAATATTAATCTAACTATTTAAAATAGATCAATAGACTGTGTTTTATTGTCTCACCTCTAGTAAGCTGTCTCCAACCAAAGTGACCAGTAGTTGGTGATTGTGGTGCTGGTAAAACATGGCAGCATGTTCGGAGGCATACATGCACGTAAAGTCAAACATGGCAACATCCGGCTGGCCATAGTGGTTCATGGCAAAGTCCAAAGACGGAAGCTGGTGATGGGTGGAGAAATCGGCAGCTTGGCGAGCATACACCTGCAATGCATTTTGGTCCACATTGTCAGGGGAGAGAAGGAGCTCTGTGTCCACAAAGTCCTGACAAACAGGGAGAAACAGAAATACAAATCTTATATTATGATTTAGGGCTCAACAAAGGAATATACTAAAAAAAAATATTCATATTCAGGGATGGAAAGTAACCAATTAAATATACTCATGTAACTATATTGAGTGTTTTTTAAATATAATTTTTAAACATGCAGTTTCACTTTTAACTCTGGCTTTGGCAAACTGTCATAGATGTGGTTTAGCCAATTTTCCCTACTGATAACATTGAACTTTCCTGTGAAATCCTAAAAGTAAATTCACAAATGTTGAACCTGATTACTTCTATGAAAGACTAGAGTCTATATATTGTTATTTTACAACACTATTATGCATTTTAGCAATATTAATTTTAGCTGCCGCATCTATATTCAATACTACTGGCCTATAGAATGTTGTGATGTTATCTGGAACCAGCAATTATGATTAGCACCATTTAATGTCATAAGAGTTACAGAATAAAGTAATTGTGCCTACTGCATTTATGAAGCTGGCGTAATTTCAGCCTGGAAGATTTAACTTTGATCCGGTCTACCTCACTGCTTACTTTACTTGCTCCTCAGCCTTAATCACCTCATCCCCATTACTCCTCCCCACTGCTCACTGCACCTCCTCTTGTCCAATCAGTGCACAGTCTGCCCAGTTTAAACAACCTTTGCAGGTGCACAGCCACTTTGGTTTGTGCCACACCCCAGCACCCCTTCGGCTTCCCATCTCACCGTCCCCTTCACTCTCTTCGGCCTCACCTCTACCACCTCCAGCGTCCAAGCAGCAGGGAGAAGATCTCTACTAAACATCATCTAATCAGCCACATCCTTCATCACAATGTCTTCTGCGGGGGTCTGAGCACCAAAGCTAACTCAGTCAATAAAACATCTAATATTTTGCCTTTGTGTCTGTCTGAGTCTCTCTAGGTTGAAATGCTTTTAATGGGCTTTTACCTGCAGAATAACATGTTTCTCCAGGAGACTCTGTTTTTTAGCTGTCATTACAAAGTAGTGTGTGTCATCTTTGTAGTAAACAATATTCTCCAGGTCAATGCCTATAACAATGAGATGTAGTATACAATGGTGAGACAACCGCACAATAGCACTCAAATGCATGTGAATGAAATCAGACTGACCAGTTTCTTCCCGCAATTCCTGAAAGAAACGTTGGTTGAAAATAAATGCCACACCACTAATCTCCTCCACCTTAGCTTCAGCAGTAGTGTGTCTATTTTTAAAGTTGGCCGTGATGGCAATAGCAAGTTTCCCTCTGAACTCTTTACGTTTAAAACCTGATTGACATAAAATAAGTTTGAAGCATTACAATTAAAATGCAGTGAAATAAAACAGGAAATAAAAAATACTACAGACCTGGCAAAGTGTTTCTTCGTCCATCTGCTCCAACAACAACATCAAATTCAAGTTGACTGACAGGATGAGATTTGGGATGGATCTCTAGCCTCCAGCCTATCTCTTTACACAATAGAGTTAGACAAAAAGACCATTATATTTCAGTCCAGGTTAAAAACTAAATGTCTTTTATTTTACTTTGTCTTTGTTGATTTGCTGGAGGTTCAATCAAGCTTTTAAACTCCACATTGACATGGACCTCCACTCCCAGCAACAGAGCCACCTTCAGAAGGATAAGCTGCAGTTGACGGATACCTGCAAAGACAGGAGAAGTCAAACTCACAGAAATGTTTGAGAGATGTGTTATGTTGCTTCAGACTCACTGATGTGATCAATGGAGCCAGCACAAAACTTTCCATAAAACTTTTTTGCCCCAAGTCCTCGGAGATCATGAATAGTAAACGGCCACAGGTGGAGCACATTGTTCCTAGAAAATGAGTCCCTTTTCTCCAACACCACAACTCGAGCTCCCATAAAACTCAGCTCTACAGCAGTCCTCAGACCACAAGGGCCTGCCCCGATGACCACACACTGAACAGAGGACACAAACATTCACTTTTAAGCACTGTGATAGAGACTGTTCTATTGTCAGTGTAAATAGAGAAGTGATATAAACACACAGTGAGATTGCTGCAGGCTCGGCCCCTCTGGTATTCACTAAGGGCAGCTCTACGGTCCAGTTTAGACCAGAGGCCATTGGCTCTCCAGTAGCTGAGTCGCTGTTTGATTGTGGGATACAGTGGTCGTGGGGTTGCCTGCAGGTCCAGCTGTAGATGCTCACAGAGTCTGGTGAAGGAGCGCAGAGTGGCTCTGCAGGTGGGTGCTGATACAAAGTGATCAAATATCTCCTGAGCATGGCTTTCAGGGTCCAACTCCTCTCCCATGACAGTTCCACGCCCCACAGGGTAAGTGTCTTCCACTGAGGGTCCCAAGACGATCCAGGATGTCCTGTGACATTAGGGACACTGGGAAGTGGAAGCAATTGCCTTTAAACAAGGAACTAACACTGAAAGAACAGTTACCATAAACATGCTATAAACAAAGATTTTGTCTTGTAATGGACTGCAATACCTTGGCGGGATTAATAAACATGCTTACAGATTTACATGAAAAAGGCAAGCCTCAGGCCCATGAGCCAATAAAGATTAAGTTGTTTATATGGAGTGAAATCTACAGGATTAGGTACAAATGCCCTGCTGTGAATAGCTGCATCAGCTTAGGAAAGTCTAGTACATTTTGCCATACTTTTGAAACAACCACAAAAAATATCTTTTACCGTACCTGTAGGCAGTTTGATTTCATAAAGAGCATAACCGTTGCAGCATCTACTACATAGTATCTTTGTGGCATACACATTCTCATCTGTGAAGAGGAATAAACTAATTTACACTGACACAAATACAAAAGCTGCCTTTGTGCAAAACAATAAAGGTCAGTCAGAATAGACCCATTTGTACCAAGTCACCGCAGTCTGACGCTGAATGCTTGAATTATAATGCACACATTCTGTGCTATGTTGACTTGCATTTATTTCATTTAACATTTATTAACTTAACTACACACAAACACACACACACACAACACACACACACACACAATTATTGCACCATTTTCAGCATATGTCAAATACAGACTACGAGGTTGTGTAAGGTGAGTAAGTGCTGCTCAAATTAGTCCCAGTAGCCAAATTATATAAATGCAGACATTTAGAAGAGAATATAGTGTATGTCTACTTTAATGTAACCAGACCATGCCTATTTAGTATTTAAAAAAGTACAGACTTACACTTTCTCAGAGAAGTGATGAGTGTGGTGCCTGTCTCCCTTTTAGCAGTTAAATCCACTGTAATCACTGAGGGCTGAGGTCAGTGGGCGGGATCAAAACAACATTCTCCGCCCACAAAAGACAATAATCCGTCTGATCTAACGAGCTTTAAATAAGTTACCTGTGTAAATGTGCGTAGACTGCGTACGGTCACACGCCTGCATTTTGTATACAAGCCTTTTCAGAAGAGCCAAGCACTGCGCCCCTATCGGCAAACTTTAAATAAAAAGGCCTCAATCTCAAGCGTGTCATAGAGGAGCAATGAATTACTGATTTTTATCTGACCTTAGAAATGCTCTCAGGAAAAAATAATTATTACTTCTTAATTTATAAAATTCCCCCCGAGCCCCGACAGGGCGTAGGGCCTATTGCTTCCGCTCAGCGGAGCGAATGGGAAGGGACGTGCGCATGTCCGAATGCGACAAGACGACATGCAACTATGTCCACGGTCGCCCCCGGCACGAACAGCAGTATCCCAGTAACCCACGCCCAAGGCCTGGCTCATATTTACTACTGCTAAAATGAATGGAAGTCAATGGAAGGCGATGGGTGACCTCGACGAGATGGCGAATGACGAGCGCGTCAGTGCCCGTCACTCACCAATGACCCCACGGTGACGTGGGGAAGGTCGAGAGCTTTCAAAAAACGTATAATATGTTGTTCTAAAGTTTTCGGATATATTGTTTTTGCTCGAATTATTATTATTATTTTATTATTATTATTATTATTCTTCTGCTCTTTAAACCCTAATTTGACCCCCTAAACACGTTCAAAAACTCACCAAACTTTGCCCAAAATTCAGAAGTGGCGAAAAATTCGATAAAATATAGGTTTCGTGCACGGGCATAAAAAAATGGCGACACAGCGCCACCTCGAAAAGTCAAAATACATTGCGCCTATGGGAGACGTCCCGAACTTTTGTCGTAGAGCCACGAAATTCGGTACACACATTCGTCATGTCAAGACAAACAAAAAATGTTATTATGGCCACGCCCCCTGACAAACCAGAAGGCGGCCATCTTGGATTGAAATTTGAGTCCGCATTTTCGCTGACGTTGCGTTTGAACGAACTCCTCTGAAGGCGCTTCACCCACAGGGCTGAAAATCACCGTACATCATCTAGACAAGTGGAACATCTAAAGTTAGCTGATTTTTTTTGATAACTGTCACGGTTTACGTGCGGCGAAGCCGCAAAATTTGGTCAAAAATTTTGCCTAATTTCAAGGTGACATTATTTGCTCCTGTTCGCACAGACTTAGTCCGATCGTGCTGAAATTTGAATCACTAATGTGTGATCTCAGTCTGAATATAATACACTATAAAACATATGAAAAGTGAACACTATAGCGCCCCCTACCATAGACATGAAATGTCAACATTGTCGGATCTGCACCAAATTTGGGAATTAAATTCTATGCATGATTACGAGCAAAAAATTATATTATGGACATGATACCATTTTCACTGTTGGCCAGCAGGGGCGCAAAGACTCAAAAATTTGGCACCTATGGGAGACGTCCCGGTCAACTTTGTCGTAGAGCCATGAAATTCGGTACACACATTCATCATGTGAAGACAAACAAAAAATGTTATTATGGCCACGCCCCCTGACAAACCAGAAGGCGGCCATCTTGGATTGAAATTTGAGTCCGCATTTTCGTTCACATTGCGTTTGAACGAACTCCTCTGAAGGCGCTTCACCCACAGGGCTGAAAATCACCGTACATCATCTAGACAAGTGGAACATCTAAAGTTAGCTGATTTTTTTTGATAACTGTCACGGTTTACGTGCGGCGAAGCCGCAAAATTTGGTCAAAATTTTTGCCTAATTTCAAGGTGACATTATTTGCTCCTGTTCGCACAGACTTAGTCCGATCGTGCTGAAATTTGAATCACTAATGTGTGATCTCAGTCTGAATATAATACACTATAAAACATATGAAAAGTGAACACTATAGCGCCCCCTACCATAGACATGAAACGTCAACATTGTCGGATCTGCACCAAATTTGGGAATTAAATTCTATGCATGATTACGAGCAAAAAAGTATATATTATGGACATGATAAAATTTTCACTGTTGGCCAGCAGGGGCGCAAAGACTCAACAATTTTGGCGTCTATGGGAGACGTCCCGGTCAACTTTGTCATAGAGCCATGAAATTCGGTACACACATTCATCATGTGAAGACAAACAAAAAATGTTATTATGGCCACGCCCCCTGACAAACCAGAAGGCGGCCATCTTGGATTGAAATTTCAGTCCGCATTTTCGTTCACATTGCGTTTGAACGAACTCCTCTGAAGGCGCTTCACCCACAGGGCTGAAAATCACCGTACATCATCTAGACAAGTGGAACATCTAAAGTTAGCTGATTTTTTTTGATAACTGTCACGGTTTACGTGCGGCGAAGCTGCAAAATTTGGTCAAAATTTTGGCGAATTTCAAGGTGACATTATTTGCTCCTGTTCGCACAGACTTAGTCCGATCGTGTTGAAATTTGAATCACTAATGTGTGATCTCAGTCTGAATATAATACACTATAAAACATATGAAAAAACACTATAGCGCCCCCTACCATAGACATGAAACATCAACATTGTCGGATCTGCACCAAATTTGGGAATTAAATTCTATTAATGACTAGAAGAAAAAACATATATTACTGACATGGGAATTTTTCAAGGTTGGCCAGTAGGGGGTGCAAAGAACATCTAAAGGCGTACTATGTCATTTTGCCATTTTGCAGGCACAGAGTTTGCGGACACGGCGTTTAGGGTATGGTGTTGGCGGGGCGCACCATTTGTGGGCGCGGTGTTTGCGGGCGCGGCGGGTGCGGCGGGCGCGGCGGGCGAGGGCCGTTCGACGCCGCTTGCGGCTTTAACGGTTTAACAGAAGGACTGAAATATAACATTGTTAAGACACACAAATGTCATATGATATATATACCAGCAGAGCTCGTCCTTTTGTTTCAATTGGCAGCAAAAAGTTGCCTAAACTACAGATGAGACAGGCGACAGCAAATGGAGTGAGGGCCATTATCACAGATTGGGACATCAACACCTACAAAGATGCAATTATGAAATTATAGGAAATCTGGCCCACATTATAGAGATATGTCTGGACAACAAGAAGATGGCAAAAGGAGAAATTCAATTTGTTAACTGGGCAACAGTTTATAGCTCATCCAAGCTGCTTCTTCAGTTCAGGTCACATTGCTGATGGAGAGGCGATGTAGGACATAAGGAGATGTACATACCTGTGCTATAAATGGTGCAATCATGCCCCCAATGCGACTGAATGATGTACAAAAACCCATGCCTATAGAGCGAGCCACTGTGGGATATACCTATAACCACAACAAAAATCTCAGGCACAGAGAAAAAATAAAAACGTGTCAACGAGACAAATGTATACCTCTGCAGTGTAGATATAAACTACATTGAAGTTCATTGACACCAAGGAACGGAGAAGGAAGAACAGCACTGTGAATCCAAACCTACACAAACACAATAAATCATTAAAGGGCCCATAATACGCTATTTCCCCATCTATATTATGTTGTTTCCTCAGCAAAAACCTACCTGAGGCTATGTTTTGTTTTATTCACACATGTTTAACACGCAAATCCTGAATATGAAGGCTGAGTTCTCTCCAACAGAAAATGTTTTTAAACTTCTTACACCTTCACTAAAAACATTTTATTGATTTCAGCCCTAGAATTGACAATCTCAGCTGAACTAAAGGCAAGAGGTAGCTGTTAATTTGAGATATAAACAGACTAATAATAAAGGATTACTCAAACATCTGTGAATGAAACAAAACACAACTCTGTATCAAGAACAAAGAGACTTACATGGTGGTGCAAATGTTGATCAACATAAAAAACACAGCCGCCAGCAGCTGTAAAACTGTCAAAGTCATCTTTCTTCCAAATAAGTTGAGAAGGCCAATGTTAAGCGGGACAACTAACAAGAAAAAAATTTACTTATTCAGTCAATTAAGGACACAGTGAAAAGAAGCACTAAATGCTTTCTGGATATGTACATACGTGCAACTTCTCCAAAAGAGCTGATAAGCAGTGTTTGGTAGTCACCGTACCCAAAAGGGATGCAGTAACACAATCCGTCCTCTTGGCGGTGTTTGACCTGGTGCTCATGGTCAGCATTTGTTACACACAACAAATTCTTCTCTAAGAGCTCTGAACTGCTCAGTACTGAACCATAATATGCAAAGGAAGCCACAAACCTGTTGGAAAACATGTACATCTTAGATTTACGTGTTTATGAATATAATAAATAGGCAAATAATAAACCAGTGTTAATGTTTTAATTTTTTCGTTGGATGACTGTTCTTACCAAGAGTACCAAAGCAGTAAAGATGTCCTCCTGAAAGTTGGACTGAGGAGATGCCTCCAGTTTCCTCTCTCTGTCTAAAATAATAAATATTATTTTATTGCACATTCTTTGTTTTGAATTCATAGTAGTTCAGCTCATAACTACATACTGAAGCAGGTTCCACTAACTGTCCTGGTGGGAGTGATGCTCTGTTCATCTTTGCGATTCTCTGCAGTGTTTTGAGAGCAGCTGGAATGTTTCCTGCAGAAACATGGTAGCGTGCAGACTCTGGAATAAACTAGAAAATCAGAGTTAGGCATTAAAGACAAACAGAAGCAGTAGGAGAAAGTCACACTTGATTTTTCCTACTTTAAACAGAAAAATGAGGATGATACTGGGTGCAACAGATATGCGAATCATCCATCTCCAGCCCAGTGTGGGGACCACGAGCATGCCCAGGACAATGATGAGCATCGAGCCTATCATCCAGAAGATCTGTCAACACAAGGCATGCTGGGAGTTTGAGTCAGCACAGAATGAAGCAGGCTTCAGTCAAGCTACACATATCATGCTGTACAAAGCTGCAATATATGTTTTCTTACAGTGGCCAGAGGGAGCAGGAACGCTCGATACTTGGCAGGAATGAACTCTGTCTTCAACACAAACCTAAAAACATACACAAGTTTTAGTACTTATGTGTGTACAATCCCTCAGGCATCCAGGTAG